CAATGTGAAAATGAAGTCATTATGCAGGTACTTGTGACGAAAAATGGTTGTCTCAGTGGAACTCATTCAACAAACGACTAAAATATTTATGCTTAAAAATGCCTTTGAAGTAGCGTATAAGAATTTGTTCATAGTTTATTATGACAAATGACTTCCTAAAAATTCAATCAATGATTGGATAGATCGTTTTAGTGAAGGAAGGCAGATGGTTGAATATGACTTGTTATGTTGCCCGGTGAAAGCAAGTTTGAAAAGGGGTTTGTTTTTAATTAAGCAATATGCTATCAAAGATCTCCAATTTACACTTTGAAAAATACTTGAATATTTCAACAATAATATAACTATAAAATGCCTAAGATATCGTTTACTTTTGATCACCCCCCCCCCCCCCGTATACTCTGTCAAATAAACATTTACAATTTTCATTACAGCGACATTTGAAAAGGAATAAAAATCATTCAGAGTGGGTTAGGAGATTTAATGAATAAAATACTTTTTTTTTCTATTTGCGCATTTTGTCAAAATTACAATTTTACAGAGTAAAGAAAAAAAATCAACATAATGAAATACTTTATACCATCTTTAAAATGACGTTTGGTGGTCCTCACAACTCTGAGAAAAATTATTGGGTCCGTATTTATAGGTGAGAAAAAATTTCCTTAAAGTTTAAACATATTTGTTGACATATTTGTTGACGGAAGAAAAAAAATCCTGTAATTGGGATGTAAAATAAAATTGAGTCGGGCCATTTCTAGGCAGTAGATCGGGAGAGAGGGCAACCAAATATTTTTATAAAAAATGGTCTTGAATGGTCACATACTTAGTAATGCAAACTATTTGAATCTTTGGTACTATTTTGAAAAAAGAACATAGGATTATGGGGGTGGGGGTGGGGGGGGGGGGGTGGGGGGGTAGTCTCTCATTTTTTTGCGATGATAGACATAGCATATGCAATGGACCTTTCTTTGCAAACATTGTGCTTGCTTCTAAATTTCAAAGAAATAACTCAATATATTTTATCAAGCTTCGTATGTTCAATGAGCGAGAGCTTACAACGTTGTCAACCTAGTGAGACATGATGCGTTTTTATGTCCAAACATTACTCCATACAATGTGTTGGTTATTGCAAACAATCAAGCTATTTATGTGAGGTGCCTGTAGGAAATCATATAACTGCATAATTTTTCTATCTAACTGCTAAACAAAATAGACATATGTACCAACTTTTCGAATGTAAGACATGTAATTACAATTTGTTTTTCATGCACCGCATATTGTTTAACATTTTCAAATTAAATGCGAAGCATCCTCCTTACAGTGCCCCATTTTAAAATAACTTCTATCGCCACAGAAAAAAGACCCGACGTAAACACATATGTTTAGGACATTTTTTATCTTTTTTCTTGAGTTTTAAAGAAACCAACAAATTATCAAGACTTGTTCCCTGAAAAATTAAATATAATCATGGTAATAAACGCATCTATCCACAGCAGATATATGCACATGCCAACCACGTGCTCAGTGTAATAATATTAACGAGGAAACTCGAGCTGTAAACAGAACAGTTTTTCCCGATTTGCTGGAGTGGGGTTAAAATCACGTTTTTCCATTAATCAGACGAAGCGATGCAACAAATAAAAGTAGTAAGTAATATTACCTGATGATTATAACTTAGTAATTTCTTGTCTTGATGTTATTATGGTCGCATTTATTCTAAAATCAATGTTATTCAAACTCTGTGTGACAGAGGAATGGCGGACGAAATAAACACATGGCCTCAGAAAGACACACATATGAAAAATCAAATTTTCAAGAATTATGCATAATGACAAGAAAAAGCGAAACAAATGGTTGTAGCCATATTATCAATGAATCAAACTAACACCATTTTCAATGCATTTTTCATCTCGTGAATGCTGTAGCTGCGCAGTTCTACCATGATTAATTTCCTCCTAATTAAAACAAAATAAACTTAATTATTTACTAATTTTGGTCTCTAACAGTAGGTAACTAGTGCATTAGCACTTTGAGTAACTTTGGGCTAGTTTAGACGAGTATTAAGCGCATTCTTGGTATTTCTTATTTCACACCAGACTAGATCCAATATGGCTTGTACATCCCCCTTAAGCCTGACAAATTAAAAAAAAAGGATGCTTATATGAGTTCAGTCTCTTGCACTAAAAAGGGGGCTTTTAGGGTCACTTCATCATAAAATGTAGTACACTTCGAACACACGCTAGTGTATTCATACTAATCGCACGCTTGAGAGACGCCCCGCCTTCCCATTCAAATGCTAATACTACAATGGCCTATATATATAGCGAATGTCGAAGTTTTACTGTGAAAATTGTGACTTTATTTAATCGATATCGTGTACAGTGAACCCTCAGATATCCGGACGCCAGATATCCGAATGCTTCAGTATCCGGACGATTTTTCATCGGAACGAAATTTTTAAATGTTATTTTGTCTTGTTTAACTGGTGATTCAGATATCCGGATGCTTCACATATCCGGACAAATTGACTGGGAACCAAAGTGTCCGGATAAATGAGGGTCCACTGTATATATTAAAAGTCTCTTTCCTAAAAAAAATCTTTATAAGTATCTATGCAGATTATACGTGAAGACTTTTGCTATAAGATAACAATGTTCTTATTTAAAAGGGTAAAATCCTGCATTTAAAAAGGGGCGAGATTGCAGTCTTAAGAGGATTCATTCTTTTGATATGTGGGTGTATCTGGATGAGTTACAGATAAAATTTGAATTTCGCATCGCTTCATTGGTTTTTGATGGCATTTTGAATTTTTCACATTTGTTTAATTGAGATCGGATTCATGCTGCCTAACTTCCGATGGTCGACATAGATGTGAAGCGAGAAAAAAGACGGTGGAAAAATGAATTAAATATTCGTCTTAATGTGGATAATTTTATTAGGTGTAAGGCACCCACAACCTCGAAATCAACCAGTTCTACCTTGGACATACCTTTTGCATATTATTAAATGACATCCTGAAGAAAAACTCAATTTCACAAAGGGGAACCCGGTAGGGGACATATATTGCTTATGCAATACTATCAGAATGCTTGTTTAACGGACAGACAGTGTCTGACACGCGGATAAACAGGAAGTTGACATCAGATTTAACCTCAAATGTTACCCCCCATGTATATGACATGCCTCAGCAAATACTGTGCTAAAATTTCAAGCATCTTCAATGAATAGCTAAGTTGCTGAGAAAACTGCAACCGGACATTTGTTACATACACACACACATGCAGACAGACAGACGAACGGACTGACACACAAAGGTAAATCAGCATACCGCCCTCTCCTTCGTAGCTGTGGTATAATAATTCCTTACGAAAGTAACAGCAAATGATCATTTGAACAACATTGAAAACAAGTTGAATCGAGGAGGGGGGGGGGGCACTCTTGACTATGTGCTTGTCCTAAACTAAGAAGAGCATGTACAGGGTATATAAACTATATTTGTTTCAATTAATAAACCAAGTTGATTCCAAAAGATTTTATGTAGGTATTTATTGTTTCCATGGAAACAAATCCTGCTGCAGTAATTCAAATATATGAGATTAGTTTAAGTTTGAGTTCATCTGTTTTTTTTTCCCGCTAAAGAAATTAGAAGTATAATCAAAAACTGGTGCTAAGAGTTTCGTATATTGGTACATCAATAATTGTTTAGATCATTCCTGAATTATTTGGTTACCAGAGCAACTTTTTTCTTTTTAATTATGAATTTCTATTTTCATGTTAGTGAAATGACAAGGTTCACATGGTTTATTGAATTTATTTCATTGAAGAAGAGATATAATCGTTCAATAAAGCAGTAGATTTTGTAGATTAAACATATCAATGAAAAGGATTTTCCTGAGTTATTGGCTGCAATAGCAACCATTTTTCAAAATAAATTATGAATTACTATTTTGATATTTAGTGAAATACAATTAAATTAAATTTATTTTATTGAAAATGAGAAAAAATCATGAATGAAGCTTTTATATAATATCTGTTTTATACTTGTCAGTATCACAAAAATTGTGATAGCAACCATTATAAGGAAGTGTTCAAAACTGTTTGGTTACCATAGCAACGTGATTTTTAGACGGTTGAATTTTTTATTTATTGCTTTTTTTAAATGTACATAAGTGAAGAAAACAAACATAATAAGTGTTATCTATTTATTGAAGAAATCAAATCATGCACTGGGGCCTCAGATTCTGCATAATGATAACGTCAATAGCCACAGTGATTTTTCCTGACTTTTTGATTGCTATAGTAACACATTATTTTTGTTTGATTTATAAACTTACATTTTTATCATTTGTTTTTAAAATTAAAAGATTAAGAAGTGTGATTTGTTTTACTTTTGATTTTTTTAAAGCTATAATATACAAAAAGCAGCCATATGTTGAATCTACAAATTAATCCGAAATCTCCATCGCAACAGTTTTGATTTTCATTTTATTTTATTTAAAGAAATATTAACTCTTCAGAAATTTAATATTTTGTTAAGTAAGGAATGGACTTTTCAGTAATGGTAGTTGTTTGATATGGATTGCCCTCGTTTTCTTGCTACTACGCTTAGAAAATGCCAAAAATTACCAACTGCTGAATAATTTCATCAGTTGTGGTAGTTACTTCAACAACTATTCTATCAGAGCAGGCAACAATTAAATCTGTAAATAATATGCAGAAAATACAAATTTATGATGAAGATGGTATAATTTCAGTCGGTTGCTCTGTATTTTTGGCCTCAAAATGGTGGTTTTGGTAACCATGGCAACCGGGACTCAAAATAAAAAAAAATGAACCAAAAAATGTCTATACATGGTGTTTCTACATTGCATGCAAAAAAATCAGCAAAATCTGTGATGTACCATTTCCAAGTTTTTTTTCTGAATGCTTTGATTCTTACAGAGAATGACTCTTTAATGTATGACCCAGGATCATCGATTAAGATTGTGTATTAAAAAACTTACCATAAGCACGACATTGTGTACAAAACACTGCAAATGTCAAACACAATATTCCCACACTAGTTAGCGTCATTTCAATTATTGTCTTAACTGTCGGTTGGTATAAAGAAATACTGCGGAAAATGAATATGAGAGCTACTTTATATAAGTTGCTGAAAAGTCTTTTTCATATTAAACTTATGAATATGCATAGATTTTTAAAACAAAGATAAAAAATATATATATATAATTGTTTATTATATACAGGATATGTCAGCTCAAACGCTGAGGGGAAAAACATAATAACACTTAAGCATCAGACTTTCACCACTGTTACTGCCAAGTACCGATTGCATAATTAACACTTAAGGTCAGATGATACAAACTTTGGTCATAAATCTTGGATCATGTTTTAATGAATAAAATGATAAATTTTACAGCGTACCTTTGATTTTTGTTTTCAAAATTGCACAGAAATGGAATTTGAAGTGAGAAAAAATGTTTGTGAAGAATAATAAGGATATTTTCAGAAGGTAGAATTTTGAACATCACAGAAGTTTTACAATATTCTAGCAATTTATTATTTGCATCAGTTACTATGGAATTATGTTAAAAAAAATCCACATATCAATCCCCGCATCCATTTTTTTTATATCATCTGCGCTTAAGCTACACTTTCATTGTTTTGTGTTGTGAAGATTTCTTATAACGTAACTTTGCAATTAAGGTTTAATACTATATGACCACAACAGTGGATCATCGACACTCTTAATAAAACATTTTGTGTATTTGTAAAAAAAAAATAATTAGAACCAATAGCCTGCCATCATAGTGTATGCATTAATCAATCAATTTCTTTGAACTTAATTTGGATCTAATGAAAAGATCGCCTATAGTCTTGTGATTGCTGTATGCCACCATAGGGGGTGTTTGAATAATTCTTTGCATACATTGTCATCTAGTATATAACCCCAATATTTAATAAGTCGTTTCCTTAACCCATTTCTTCATGGGTTAAACTTGGTAACAAAAACGTTGGGTACAGCCTTCTTGTTGTTTTTCATCTTTAATTTTTTAAAAGAAAATGCAGAAATATGTAAAAAAACAGCTACTTTATATAAGTTACTGCAAAGTGTATATTTTCAAACTAAGTATAAACATGAAATATATGCATAAATTTTTAAAACAAAAATAAAACAATCACAAACACCTAGAATTGTTAATTCCATACAGGATATCACCAATGCCTCATAACCCTTGATGTAAGCGGAAATCGAAATTCACAAGTTAACACGTTATAAAGTTATCATCAAAACCTATGCAGCTCTCTCACATCCAAAAGCTGAATTACTGCCAAGTACCTAAAAAAAAATAAAATAAAGAAATAAAAAATTAACACTTAAGGTCACCACAACAAAGGAATACAAACTTTGTGCACCAACTAAATCTTGGATGCAACATGTTTGCCGTATTGAATAAAATGATAAGTTTTACAGCGTATCTTTGAATTTTGTTTTCAAAGTTGCACAAAAATTAAATTTGAAGTGAGAAAAAATGTTTGTAAAGAATAATAAGAATATTTTCACTTTACTAAGGGTAATGAATTTTGAACATGCCACAGAAGCTTCTTACAATATTCTGAAAAAACAATTTATTACATTGTATTTCCCGACAAAGCATCAATTGCTCATTTGAAATTAAAAATGTAGAAGAAAAAAAAATCCACATATCTAAGGAAGAAAATTCAAAATTTTTTTTTATCATTCCCCTGAGCTAAAATAAATTTGGTACACTGTTTTATATCTTTTGAAACAAAATAAAGCCGAATGCCAGTCTTTGTTACTCCTCACTAAGATATTGACGGTTGAAGGAAATTTTGCAAGAGTACTGTGCAACAATATATTCAACATTGTGGTGTGCCCTTGATATTAAAAAAAATCTCATGTATCAACCTTGTTCACATTTAATAAGCAATGAATGCGTGAAAAGAAAAAAACACGTGGTGGCCTTCACATTGACATGTCTATTAGCACTATTGTCAATTTATGTAATTTCCATTCCTAGCAATATAGCTGGAGAGCTCTGATAAAAGATATCACAGAGTCTGACACATTTGATTCATAGATATTTTAAAAAAGACGTTATTGGAAAAAAAATAAGGTATATCATAAATATGATGACTTTTACTTTTCTGTCGTCAAATTACTTTACTTATGCAGCAATATACCTTTATCACAACATGTATATATTCATTTGTAAGGCCCATTATATAAATTCAAAATCATAGGTCATATTTGTCGGACCAAAATCATATATCATATTTGCAGGACCTTGTCACCAAATACAATTTATCAATAAGTCAAATGCTGAATGACGTTTTTCATACAAATTGTTAGTCCATTATTTACACATTAAATTGAAGACAATTTTTTTTTCAATATTTTCCGATCATGACAAGGAAGAGAGGGCGGGTGTGACCGGTCAGCAGGGGATGTTCACTTCTCTATGGCACCTAATCCCAACTCCGTGTTTGCTCTGCTCCAATTTTGTATTGTTTTATGGAGTCTGATATTGAATACTGTTCATTATCTCCATATCCTTCTTGTACTCTCTACCTATCTTTGTTTCTAATGGGTTTTATAGTATAGGTATCCAGTATAGGTATGGTTATTCATTAGATTAATTCATTTTGATTGTTGGGATTATTATTTATTTTTTTTTTAAACTAGCATATGATTCTAAATAATTCCATCCATAGAAGTGGAATTAAGGATATAATTTGAATTATCACTTGCAGAAAAAAGCCCTACTTCCATCACAAGATGGCACTATCTTGTGTCACAAACAACAGTTTTAAACTCAACGTCTTTGAAGCTGGAGAGCTATGAGGGTATTTATTTCATACATTTATTGATTAAATGTAACATCACTAAGGAAGGTATTTTCGGGTTCATACATTTATGATTAAATGTAAATCAAAAATCCTTAAATCAAAAATCCTTAAAATGTCAAACAAAATCAACTTGTATCACGAATCTTTATTCTTTGTTTGGCTAATTTTATCTTCATATATTTGTATCACTTATCTCATTATGTTGAATGGAATTGTATCTACTAATAATTTAAAATCTGCATATGTACAGGTGTAGCACCACCTAATGACGACCTCAAAATTTATTTTGGGATTTTAATTATATTATGGAGGCACTTTTTCAAAATTTCCGTTTGGCAGCCCTCCCTTTTTGCTTATTTGTATTCTTTTGTTTTTTTAATACAAGATGTACTTACTCACTTGTATTATACTACATACATACTCATAAACATTTAGATTACAGCTCACATTTTCTATATAATAATTTAGTTAAGTAATTGTTTAGCATGGTATTAGGTTCATATGGCAAACTTGCATGTATTTAACATAAATATTTTTTTTAGTTTATTTAGCCTTTAATTCCTTGTATGGTCGGCCACCAAAAAATGATTACTATGGTCTTCCAACTGAGTAACGAGGTGGTTATTTATTTATTTATTATTTATTATTAAAAGAAAAAATAAAAGTAAGAGGTAGATATATAATTATATCTACATGATCATACAAAGGCTTGTCTTTCTGCATATCTGTGGAAAGTTCATAGATTTTGAGGCTGGAATCACAAAGTGGACCAATAAGAATATAATAATTCTTAGCACCAATGAATGATTTATCGTTTTATGATTTATCAATAAAATACTAACAAAAATGAAAATGCTTTATGATTGCTACTGTTATTCATAATCTATATTACATATTCTGTGGACTTGATTTAAATAGATAGTTTAATGTCACCTTTATGACCTTTTCCTCACGCCCTGCAAAATTGCAGTTTATTCATAAATTTAGGTAGAAATCCGTAAATAATTTAACACTATTGCAGGATAAGTTGAGATTTTTCAATTCAAATTTCCATGCTGATAGGTACACAGAGTGCTTTGAAGCAAACAATGTCCATCTAAAGAACAACCGTAACATTACTTTGTAAATAATTTTGTATTACAAACATATTTCACAAAACTTATTGATGCTAGATATAAGAGAATGCACAAAAGGATGAGATTATCAAACCACCAACTAAACAATGAAACTGATAAATACAATAATGAACTTAGATCTCAAAGAATTTGTACACCTTGCTCCTTCAATTATATTGAAGATGGGTTTCATTCATATTAAAATGTCCATTTTATGAAAGTCTGAGAAGTATGTACATTAAGAAGTATGTTTATGTTAAACCAAGTGTATTTAAAGTTATAATTTTAATGAGTTGTCAAACTGTAAAAGAGTTAATTAATTTGGGAAAATGTCTATACAAAGTCCCAGCTATACGAAATTCTAACTGATTTCTATATCCTTTTTGTATAAAATGTTTTATTCTGTACTCTTTACATTCAGTATAAAATCTTATGAGCCTTTGGCTCAAGGAATAAAGAAACTAAGATTATTTCTTACACATGTAGATTAATTAAACGTTACAAAGCTAGAGTAAATATTTCCGTGGAAATCAAATGCCAACGTTAAAAATTTTCTCAAATAATTAATTTCAGGTGACTCACTCTTATAGCATTTTAAAAAAATATACGTCTAAATTACTTTATATGTACCAATTTCAACACATCTCTTCTCAAATATTATTTACTGGCATGTTCTAATAATTTTGAAATCCACAAACTATACAGACTTGAGACATGTGCTTTCGTCCGATTACATGTACTAATATACAGTTTGCATGTGACAATTAATGTGGAGTTATGCGTTTCCATAATTGGAAAATCAAGATACTTCATAATTTGAATAAATAAAAACGGGGTAATTGTGTCAACCAAACAATATCCATATTTGTATTTTGGATACAATTTTCGTGCAAATCTCAATCTAGAAAATTGAATATAAATTATAATAATTCATTTTTACATACAAGCTTTTTTCATTGAAACTCAAATAACTACTCTACTCTTCATCGTAATTCATATTTTAAGATCTTAATTCTTCTTTTCGAGGAGAAGAAGGGGGGGGGGGTGTCTGCAAAACTCCGCAAGCTAGCCATTCCTATGAAGACGAATTTGTTAAAAAGCAAGGCAATGTAGGTTAAAAAAAATCTGGTTTTTCTAGACGCAGATTGAAG